TTTCTGATTAACTGATTTTATTTTTGTTTCTTTAGGAATGGGCTGTAATGAATGCACTCACCCCACATGCCAGCACTCGCTGAGCATGCTAGGAATTGGGCAGTGCGTGGAGTGTGAGAATGGGGTTCTGGTGCTGGACCCAACTTCAGGTCCCAAGTGGAAGATGGCCTGCAACAAATGCAATGTGGTTGTGCACTTCTTTGAGAATGCCCACAAAGTCCGAGTATCACCAGAGACCTGTGAGGTGTGCGATGCAGCTCTTGTGGATGTGGATTTTAATAAAGCCAAGTCTCCTCTTCCTGGGGATGAGACACAGCATTCAGGCTGTGTATTCTGTGACCCTGTGTTTCAAGATCTGGTGGAGCTGAAGCATGCAGCCATGAGGCACCCTATGCACCGGGGAGGCCAGGGGAAAAGGCAGGGTCGAGGAAGAGGGAAGGGCAGAAGGCTTGGAGGGAGACCCAATCCAAAGAAACCCAAGGACAAGATGGCAGCCCTAGCTGCTTACTTTGTATGATTCCCACAATATTGAATGAAAAATAAACCCTCTTGTTAAAGTTGGCCTTCCTCAGTTTCTTTTTAAAATGTTGCTTATTGCTACCTTTAAAGAAAAGAAGTTTGGAGTCATTGTACAGTTTGTTTTTTCACGCACCTAGAAATATTAGAAAATCTCTGTAGGTGATTGATTTCTAAGTATGTGTTTCAGAAGCCTTACTTTTTTTTAAAAAAATTAAGCTAGTATCTGTCCAGGCACTTACATGGAAAAGGAGGAAAATTCAGGAAGCAATACTTTTAAGAATTAGTTGTGCATAGCAGAAAGGAAATAAGTCTCTCCTTTTGTGTCATTCTCGAGCAGCTTTTGTCAGTGATATGAGAGCCAGGGGTCTAACAGCTGATTAAATCAGTGTTCTACTGTGGAAAGTGTAAAACAAGTCTTTGAAAATTAGACTCTACGTGTGTCCAGATTGTAAGGATTGAGCTTTGTTTATCTTGGTGTGCATTCAGGGGCTCTCATTCACTCTACTCCATTTTTAATCATCAGGGATCTAGGCTTTCCCCCTTTACCTGAGGAAAGTGTGGATTTTTCATTTTAATGAAGAAACATGCAATTTTTGCACTTTTGCAAAGAGCTCTCTGCAGGCTGGGCAGAGTTCTAGCCTGCAAGGGGCTGGGAGGAGCAGGAGAAGTGGTGAGGTAGGGATCATCATATGCATGTATATGCACATGGCTGCCAGGCAGCCTGGAGAGCAGCTCCTGCAGGTATGGCTGGTGGGAGGGTGGGGTTGAGGCCCCCATAGGGAGGGAGGCAGTTGGGCAGGGCTGGAGCCGGGGGGATTGTGGGGCTTGGGGCCCAGGGCTGGAATGCATAGCTGCAGGGCCCCAGCGGAGACTGGAATTTCATAGATTTCATAGACATCAGGGCTGGAAGGGACCTCGGAAGATCATCGAGTCCAGCCCTCCGCCCAAAGGGCAGGAAGTCAGCTGGGGTCATAGGATCCCAGCAAGATAAGCATCCAGTTTCATCTTGAAGGTGTTCAATGAAGGCGCTTGAACCACCTCCGGTGGCAGGCTGTTCCAGACCTTGGGGGCTCGGACAGTAAAGAAGTTCTTCCTTATGTCCAGCCTGAAATGATCTTGAAGTAGTTTGTGACCATTCGACCTCGTCATCCCTTGGGGCGCTCTGGTGAACAAACGTTCCCCCAGATGCTGGTGGTCACCCCTGATAAACTTGTAGGTGGCCATCAGATCACCCCTGAGCCTGCGCTTTTTCAGGCTAAAGAGCCCCAGGGCTCTCAGCCTGTCATCGTAGGGTCTGCTTCCCTGACCTCTGATCATGCGCGTGGCTCTTCTCTGGACTCTCTCAAGCTTCTCCACATCCTTTTTGAATTGTGGAGCCCAAAACTGGACACAGTACTCCAGCTGCGGCCTCACTAAGGCCGAGTACAGGGGGAGAATGACGTCCCGGGATTTGCTTGAGAAGCATCTATGGATGCAAGCCAGCATTTTGGTCGCTTTACTAGCCACCGCATCGCACTGCAGGCTCATGTTCATCTTGTGGTCAAGGATG